AATGTATTTCAAAGATAGTAAACAAATTTATTAACATATTTGGGTTGACATCAAATTCGCAAAACATATTCAAACCTCTAATGAATAGCAATAAATAACATAATAACTGTATAAATATTATAAGATAAAGCTATATCTTATAATATTATAAATAAGGTTCACACGCAATATTATAGCTTAACCACAGTTTGGGTAATGCTTAAAGAACAGAATTTTTTTTTCACAAATATGCACTTTCAAAGCATATTCAAACTTGGATAATTTTGTTATATTTTTTTGATTTTTTTTGTAAAGTTGTACAGTAAATATTGTGCAATTTTCTGTTTCTATAATAAATTTCACTGTTATTCTAACTATATTCACTCGGTGAATTACCCATAAGATTAGCCTTTCCCTTTGACTTAACATTGTACATAGAGTTAACTGTAAAATAACTGTAACCATTGGGTCAGTATTGCCATAGACTTAGCATTAGTCCGTGTTATTTCCCATAGAGTGGGGGGGGGGGAGAGGGCCCAACCTAACTAAGGCGTCTCTATAAACCACGTGATCTATATCTGAATTGTGGTTAAAAATGAAAGGCATAGCACAGGTATGTGAGCAAAAAAAAAGTGAATTCTGGTGCAAATGATTTACTGTTGAGTCAAAAACACTAAATAAAATATCAAAAAACATCAATCAATGCCAAAGAATGCTAAATAAATTGGATTTTATTTGCATTTACAGGAGTTGTGTCCGCTTTATCTTATAATACCTAATACTTGTTACTGTATTCATAAATTATTAACCGTTATTATACCGTATCGGTCCAAAAATAGCAAATTATAAGTTAAAATGTATTGTATTTTTACGAGAAAAATATTTAATTAATTAAAAACACTATCAATTTTATGTTATTCAATGGATATTAAATAATATTATCATTGTTTTGACGTGAAAATAAATGTTTAATATTATTGTCGTATTTAATTAGCCTAAAGTAATCTATTTATAGATGTAGTCAATCAATGAAATAAAAATATATTTACTAATTAAGTCACAAAAATATCCATTTTTCTGAACACATATAGAAATATCGTAATTAAAAATGTTGTTTCAAAAGATTAAATTAAACAATGACATAGAATTTATAAAATATGAATAATGGTAAAACATTATAATAGAGATGGTAATAGACAAATGTAATTATGTTATTTTAGGTAACCTAAAGATCATACTGTAGATTCTACAATGAAGAATAAGTTAGTATTTTTTTTACAAAAGTATGTTTTTATGCTTTCATCTATTATTTAAAATTTGAATTACAAATGAATTTCTAAAAAATTATAATCATAATAATAATTATTATATAATGTAAAGTTACATTATTTTACTCTACATTATTAATGTATAAAATAAAAACATATTATGCATAAAACGAGTCATTAATTTTATTTGATTTAAATTAAAATAATTAAAGTCTTATTACACATACTGACCAATAGGTATACATGTATTAAGATTTATATTATTTAATTAATATTCTGATTTTGATTGATTAAAAAGAGTAATATTAATAATAAATTAAATTTATAATAAAAACTCATTAGAATATAAAAATGTGTTCAATAATAAATATTAATTTGATATATGTTAACCAAAAGTTTAATTTAACGACAAATATCCTATTATTAACATGTTACAAAAATAGAGGTAATTTTTAATAGCAATAGAAATGCCCGACGAAATACTATGGAGAATAATTCGACGGAATATTCTAAACAATACCCCAACATTTTGAACAATATTCCGACCATGTTTAACTCATATGTGACCGTTTAGTTTATAAGTTTATGTAAAATAATTAAGTAATAAACGTGATTAATCACAATAAATATGTTTATTTAAATATAATTATTACTTTTAATAATAATTCAAAGTTTTTATAAATTGCAATACAGTTAATTCTATAAATGTGTTATACGGATCAAATAAAAGTGGATTATCCCATTCTGTATATGAATTCAACACAATATTTAATTATTTATATATTAATACTTAATATAATTTATATAATGTTTACTAAATGAACAGTAAAATAGTCTTATTTAATGACTTTAAATGTCGTTAAAAACAAAAAAGGATAAAAAGTTTAAGCAATTACTGTATGTTTAGAATACGTTATATCTGTTTATAATTACCAAAATTCTCATTAAAATAAATCATTAAATATTTGCATAATATTATTAACTAGTTGTAAGCATAAAATGATTATACCTTAAATCCATACAAATCTTAAATGTTTAAAAGCTTTTAAATTTTATACAATGTATTATTATAAATTAAATATAGATTAATTTAATATTTAATTAGATTACTTAATGGTTCTTAATTAAAATTGATAGTTTATAGAAATAGTACTTTAAATAGTGTTTGAATTTTATTTTGTTTGAGCACTAAATAAATATTTAATATAAATACAAAATAAATGAGAATTTTGCTAAACAATTATAAATTGCTCACGTTAGTATTCACAAAGTTGTTAGTATTCACAAAGTTGTTAGTATTCACAAAGTTGTTAGTATTCACATACTGAATATACAAATTGCTTTTACATTTAGTGGAAGAAATGAATTTTATAAATGCATTTAATTTGTCAAAAAAGCTATATCTAAATAATCAAAATATTCATTTTAATTAAATGTTAAATTATATTTTAACTTAGTTTTAGATTAGTAAATTTGCAATTATTTAGCAATTCATTCATTTAATAAGAAATTTTTAAAATGTTTATAAAATTAAATTATAAATATATAATTCGTATATTATTATACAGTAATATAATTATTTTGATACATGATATTAAGTTTATTTTATTTAGTAAAATATTATAAATTATAGGCTTCATTAAATATAGATCGTTTAAAGATTTAACAAATACTTTTATTTTTCACTTTTATTATAAGAAAATTGTAAAAATTAAATAATTATAAACAAGAAAATGATATAAAAAGAGTCGTTTATATTAAAGGTTAAGAATCAGAATCGATATTAATATCATTATTATTGTAGCGTTTCTTTTGAGCACTACTTTGAGACCCAATGTCTTCAATATCTTGTGATTTACTTCTTTTTCTTCTTCGCACACAACAGACGACACATGAGATAATAAAAGCCATAATTATTAATACAAATGAAAGCAAAATAATTGGCCAAAAACGGGGAACTCTGCAAATAAACGAATCGTCTCTATAGTCATCACACCATTCGTGAAGAGATGGCAACAATTTATGTGGCATTTTATGAATCAAATGTAATTGATTTTTAGGACAACTCTCTTCCGCTTTCTTATACCAACAGTCCCTTTGGATTAATGATCATAAAAATACATAATACGCAAAAATTACTTCAAATTATCAAAATTAATATTATTTAGCTATAATTAATGTCATCATAAAAGCCAAGATGATGTTAATATGAAAGACATGTGGTGACTAGTGGTTGAGTACAGGCATACATACCTAACCATCCAAATGCCACAGCATTTGAATGCCTTTCCGAGTGTAGAGTTTTCGGGGAAAACATTGTAAGCAGTTTTGGCGAGTCGTCTGATGTCGTGATTGCATTGAATAAAGTCCTCTTTGAAAGCGGACAGACATCTAATCATCTCATTGTAATCGTCCAATTCGTGTAAACCAAACTCACTTATATCTCCTCTAATTGTCAGCAATAGGTTTGAAAGCAACACAAAAACACTGTTATTAAACATTGAGTTTTAACGCGACAAACGAATTGAAGTTTTATTTTATTTTATTTATTCGCTTAAAGATTACATAAATACACATATTATGCGAAACTTTTGAGGTTTTAAAACTTTTTGCCACTCATTTCATAATATGTTTCAATCAATGAATCCCAACAACATTTACACTCCGTTATAGTTGTTGTATACATAAACCCGAACTATAAATAAGTTTGTACTCAGTTTTCCCCACAAATTTATTTATTTTCTCAAATTTGTCCAAATATTTGTTTATAATCTGATGGGAAGTGAATTCAAAGTGAATTTAATTACTGAAAGAATGAATTTTAAATAAAATGTACAAAGAATTACATTATATATTAAGAGACAAATATATCTATCGATTCTAAAATCCTTATCACTCATAAAGATATACTGTTTTACAAAACTTTGTATAATATTATAATTTAATAATAAATTTCTGTTTAATTTATTTACATTAGAAGTGCGTTAAGACACAGACAAAGATGTTTTCAACTTTCGCTTTATTTAGTGCCAAAAGAATACAATTTAATAGTTATTCAAATTTTGGTTTACTTAATAAAATTCAAATATTTATCTTCATGTGATTCCCAGGAATATACTATACTGTATGTGTGAAGTGAGTTTTACCATCATTTTAAATTTATGTTAAGTTTTCAAGTTTTTTATTAGCATTTAGTGATCGATTAGTTTAAAATCTAGAAATTATTTTTCTATTTAAACAGTCAATTGTCAGCACTTTTTTGGGATATAAAAATTGGTTGTTTTCCTAAATATAAAGACCTTTTATGCTTATACTGTTTTTAAAATCAAGTTTTCATATAAATAACAAATGTTTAAATTGTATTTAAACAATATTTTTTCTATTAAATGTGTGTCAAACGAGTTGTTTGACTATAATTGTGAACATTTCTATATATAGATATATTTGTTTTCAATTTAAGTTTCAAGTTATTATCAAATTTTGTTTCATTGAAGTAAAAATATTTAACTCAAGAGTTAAATAGAAATTATTTTTGTTAATTTGAAAGTAATTGACTTTAAGTGACTCTAAATCCCATTGAAAATGTTATATAACAACCAAATAAATACACAAAAATCATTTGAAACTATTTTTAAAATACAGAGTATTTGCAAAATTCAGTCAACATTAAGTTTAGTGTCATATTTCAAGGGACAAGTAATTTAATCTTAAAATTATTTTTCAAACATCTTTTACAAATTAATGCAACTTTTACTGTATTTACGCCAAAGTTTGCATTACTATCATATGTTATGATTAGCCACTGAATACTTAAGTAAATTCTTGCATTTCTTGCAAAATGTGCATTTAGTACACCATTCAGTCATATAATGAACTAAATCTATACAAAGTAAACATTACTTAAATAACTAACAAAAGTTAAATGTTTATTAAGTGGGTATTAAAATAATTTCATTAAAATAATTATGTGAATTTAATTTGAACATGCACTTATTAACGAGAATACACGTTAAATGCCATAGAGAAAATACCACAATAGTAGCAAACATGACAACTTTTCAACACTACTTTACCTGTAATGTAATGTCAGTTAACATACGGTATGAGAGGGAGAGGTAAGGGTAGGCGTGGTTCACATACCTGTCCCTCAAAACACATTCAATATTACTCTCTGTTTGTTGTTTTCAATTCAAATTAATCACATTTTAATTGTTATTTCATTTAATCATGACTTAAATTAATTGTATTTCAACTATAGTTTGTTTATAAACTAATTGTAAAGCAATTAAAAAGTGCTAAAAACAAAGGCGATTGAAAGAGAGGCCCAATAATGTACAGCACATACACTAATCACTGCATACCTGTCCTCGTGTTGACCGCCGTTTTGTTGGCCACAAATGGTATGCTTTTCAAAGTGATTGATAACTAACTAAACACTGATTGTATGTATGGTTTATGCAGTGAGTGGTAACCTCTGGTGCTATAAGTGTGTGTCTTCAGAGCCCGGATGTACTGTAGATGCAGTCAATTGGTTCATTCATTCGGCCATCACTTGTCCCCGAAGTGACGATAAATGCGTTAAAATAATCGACAGAAAAGGATGTAATGATTGACTAATTGATTGATTTATTGGTTATTTAAATGTAAAACTAATACCAAACTTGTTGTCCAATTGTTTAGCGGATCTATTGATAACTCGCGATTGTCTGTCAAACATAATACCGTTCCGACGGGACATTCCGGCCGACCGTTTCGAGGGCTGCCGACCGGCGGCCACACAACCAAAACTAGCCGTTTATGTGGACAATAGTGTCCGCGAATTGGATCTGAAGAAGGATTACTTCTCGGACACCACTTACTGTTTCTGCGAGTTTGACGAGTGGTGTAACCATTCATTGAAAATGCAATCAAATTATCTCATTATCTTCACGATTGCCTTATTATCACTGATTTTGTTTCATTAAGACATTAGGCAATAACCAAACGAATCTCGTATTTATCTCTCCGACCAATTGTTTACTGAATTATAAACAAAAAGTAATTTTATTTATAGATCTGTTTTTATAGATTTTGTTTTACACACTATTTTCACACATCAATTGTAATTAAAATAATTTTTTACTAATTATTTTATAAAATTTATATAAATTTTGATTACAATTTACAATCAATTTTTTATATTCACTATAATTATCACTATTTTTAATGTGTAAAGAATTTTCTAATGAAATGTTAAGTTTGTTTAGCACTTGTAATTGCAATCAAAAGTAATAAAAGTGCTGTAAATCTACAGCAAATGTCTAGAAACTGAATTCATATTAATTACCGGTAAAATGATATTTAAAATATTTAATAAAATTCAAACATAATTTAAATCAAGTTTTAAAAGTAGAAAATGATATAAAAATCAAAACATAAAATCGGATTAAGTTTTACGGACACTAATAGACAAATCGTTTGTGCGGCGGATGACCTAATTTGTCGAGATTAGGATTGCAGGCGAAGTTAATCATAGGCGGCGGTCCGCACATCAGTACACACGTATCGTCGGCCGGCGCCGGCAAATGCTCGCCAATCATCTCTGAGTTTATAAATCCAGAGCTAAAGGCAAAGGGATTAGGCGTTAAACTTAATAAAAATACTCATAATATAAGGCCGAGTGATTCGCACCTGTATTTCCAATCGTCTGTCGGTCTGTCAACAGTGTACCAGAGGTGGAACCGATTGGGTTGTTCTTTGGACACCTCTTCTAACTCTTTGCGCAAAAGGATATCGTCTGGCGATTGGTTGGCGTAGAGGAGCCAAAGGTCTGTCTTATCGTTTTGGTCTTTGAACACCTGTCGTATCAATTGAAGGCATGGCGTAATACCAGTGCCGCCGGCAATCATTCCGATCCTCTTGTAGTCCTGAAGAACCGACGGTTTCTTTTTGTCGGGTTTTATCGACAGTTTTCCTCTGCCTTTGTACTCAAGCAGACCATTGGGTCCACGGATTTGGATCTTATCGCCGATCTTCATGTTTTCCAAATACTGTGACATTTTGCCGCCTTCCGGGAACTTCGGGTGAACGTTACCGAAGTATACCTTAAGTATTCAATTCATATTATCAGTCATTAAATCTCATAATCAATAGTCAAAGACAAACACTAATCACAGTTTTTATACCCAAATTACTAATAATTTAAGTATAAATACTTTGGTTTCGCAAAATTAAATCAAATCAATAGTAAAGTAATTGTAAATAACAACTAAATTATGACAATATATAAGACATTAAATGTAAAATAATGGCTAACTTTGACGACCAAATCGATGAAACCCTTGTCGTCATCGCTGGAGACGGGAGTATAGGCTCTGATCACTAACTGATTGTTGACGTGAGCGGTGAGGAAGATATGCTGTCCGACGGGAAGACCGAGAATGTGGTCATCGGATGGGAGACCGAAGCGGAAGCGTCGGGTGTCGTGAGAGATGTCCTCCCTTTCAATCAACGGAACCCAATATTTTTCCTCCGGATTTAACAGTAATTTTGGATTTGATTTCTTGGAAAACATCTTATAGAGGATGAAAAGAGTGGTTCCGCTCAGCGCTAACAACGAGACCACAAGAGGTGTGTTATTCTTCCGGATATCAATCAAACAAACATATCATTAGTTTTAATGCATTCAATGAAATTCATAATCAAATTAAGCCATCATTTGATTCAATACTTACAAAATCCATCGTTTGTTGCCTTTAAATGTGGTTTAAGTATTCAATTCTTGTAATATTTAATTAATTAAATATTTTTAATAAATATTATAAATATTTAACTATTAATTAAATAATAAGTAATAATTTATTAACAAATGTTTCGTTAAATAAGTGTTGAATGAAATGTGTATTCAATGAGAGTTTTTTCAGTCAATCATTTGATTTTCATTGACTATAAACTAGTGCTCAAAAAATACGCCAACTTTTGGCCACAAAAACGTTTTTAATAATACTTTTAGGTTTTATCTGAAGTTAATGTTTGAATAGTTTTGCAAATAATTGTTTGTTCGCAGAATTCGTAATGAATAATAACTGAATTTAATGTAAATTATATTAATTTTGATTAATCATGTGTTCATTACAACACTATTGAATGCCCTAAACACGAGATTCAATGCATTCAATGCCATCGATTGAACCAAAAGTTAAAACTATATTTTTCTCAATTCATATTCAATTGCATTGATTTTAAACATAAATTACTAATAAATTGTTTAAATCCATATTTTTTGCCAAAACTATCAGTCGATTAAATAACATGTCATTCAATGATAGTTACAAATTGTGATAAAAACTCTTTAATACAGATATTATTTTTATGTAAAATTTTAAATAAGTTTAAGAAATTGATTGCATTTTATTGAAAACCATTTTTTGGTTTAATTTTATTAAATAAGGAAAAAAACTTTTTATTTGAGGCTATAATTAGCCGTAGGATTCGTTTTCAATGATTTCCTGCATTTATTTAGAGATAAATCCAATATTTTTCGTAATAAATAAAACTTATTTTAAATAATAAAAAACTTTTATAAGTTCTTAAATGATTTGAATAAAACTTTTAATTACTTAATAATAACATATTTATAATAGACTTGAAAAGTCATACAAATTAAATACAATTTGTTTTACTAATAAAAAGTCTCAACAATTGTGTGTATTTGAGGACAAAGTCCATGAAATTGAGTGCAAATGTATAGAAAATTCACAACATTTGCCATTCATTGAGGTTTCAAAGCAATGCTAAATACAATTGCATACAATTTACTCATAATTTCTATTCAATTGTTAGCATTCAATGCAATGCTTTAAGTCTACAAAACGTTTGAACAACACTTCGGCCGCCGATTATTATCATCGCATGAATTGGTGGTCAAAATAAGTGATGGAAAGCCAAGCATTGCATCAAATAATTGGCGACAAATATGTGGTAAAACTGTGCGAAGAAGTGCTGGACGTCAACGAAGCGATCGATGCGGTGAACGACGACTCGTGTGGAGCCGTTTCGCTCTTCATGGGTGTCACCAGACGTACAGAATCTGACGACACGTCCGGCCGAAGACCCGTCCAGTGTCTCGTCTACGAGGCCTACCATTCAATGGCCATCAAACAGATGCAGACAATTGTCGAGCAGAATATGGCCGCCTATGGCTCGCATCGGATCCACAAATGCTATGTCTGTCACCGATTGGGACGCGTGAACGTCGGCCAGACATCGATAGTCATCGCCTGTTCGGCACCGCATCGGACAGAAGCCCATCAACTGGTCCTCAAACTACTCGATGACATCAAAGCAATGGTTCCCATTTGGAAACGTATCGTATATCACATCCACGACACCCACGAAGACACTGACCAACGCCTCACCACCGATGGCGAGTGGAGTGACAAAAGTGAGGCCTTTTGGCTCAACTCAAACACTACTAGCCATTCATCGGATCCGGACGTCACTCAATGACACGATATGTCCGCATATCTATCGATATATCGTTTGTTTGCGATCAAATGTTTACTTTTATTATTCATATTGTAATCAAAGTTTTGATTCAAAACAATAAATGCAATGAAAATACTATGTATTGAAAAAAGCGATCATTTCTAGACTGAACTAAATTGTACGCAAATAGTGACAAGTATTTCAACCATACATTACATTCAAACGTGTGTTTCAGACAAACAGAGAGACACAGAAAGACAGTGAATGGGAGAGAGAGAGAGAGAGGGGGTATCGAAGGGATAGCCAAGAGAGAGAGAAAGTGGGGGATAGAGTGAAGAGTATGTGTGTATTGAGTGCATCTATTTTTGTATTGCATAAAGTGTAGGGGGTGTAGCGCGAACGCTTACCCCCGCTACCAAAAATTACACGCCCCATCTGTTCCGTTTTGGAATAGTGGCGGGCTTCATCATGGCCCGAAGTGCAATGGGCCCGACTCGACCCGGGGCCGCCGCCTTGTTGATCACGGCTGACCCGGCGCCAGGTAAGTATGCTTTAGCCAACTCGCACTCACCACTACCCCAACCACAACCTATTCCCAAACTACAGCTCTCACCCATTTGTTATCGCTTTTGGGCCGTGTTTTGCGTTATTTAACTATTAGTTGTGGTTATTATCGACTTTTTCATGGTTTATGACATCGTATTTCGTGTGAGTTATTGTCGCATAAATTGTTTGATTCAATGAACGGCCAGTTTTACCGAATATTGATTAGTATTGAAAATATGTTTTGGCTTTCAGTTTGTTTGCGAGAGTTTGTGTTATATATAGTGTTGAGAGCGCTGTCTGTGTGTCGATATATTTAACAACTGGTTTTGGCGCCGCTTTTAATGTGTGTTTTGCCCATTGAATGCAATACTGGCTTAACAGCGAGTATTGTTATAAATGATTTACGTTATAATTATAAATATATTTATTTGTCTTTTAACTACAATTATGAATTAAAAAGTTATATTTTATAAGACCACCATGCTCAAACCATTAATACACCAATCCCACAGTTATAGTACAGTATATGCCGTAGACTTGTATGAATGTTATGGACCATAACTTATGGCTTATACTTTCTAATAGCCTTTATTAACAAGAAATTGTGATTAAAATTTGGGTCAAATGTTTTGACCATGGTAAAGTTATGTGTTTAGTGCATTGATATGTGCTTTAATATAACAGACAATTTAAAAGTAGTTAATGTATTAAATTAATTTTTGTCGAGACTTATATTAATGCATTAATAATTAGCTCACAACTAAATTCAATGATAATATCATATTATATATTACTGTATATAATTTTCAATGATATAAAGACTTTATATAATAATAAGAGATATTATTTTCAAATTAATTTTTAAAAAAATATTATTTTGAGACCAGTTTTTCGATCACAGATTTTGAGAAGTTTTATATTTTTAGAAAAATGATGAATTATTTTTGAAAGATATTTATTTTTTTCAATAAAAGTACTTTTCGTGATATAAATTGAAATCATTATTAAGAGTGACTGAGAGGACAATACATATCAAAAACTTTCATATCTGTTATCCGACACTAATTCACATCATTTTTCGGCGAAAGAAGGAAAAAATTTAATCGATTTTCGATTTTTTTGTGTCATTTATTCTGTCACACAATGGAGAAGAAGATTGTATTTATTTTTATATATAAAAATTACAATTTTAGATAAGATCTTAATCACAGATTATGTGAAAGTTTCGCTCGTTTTTATCATAATTTCATTTTCACCATCACTTCAACGATAATAACAATAGGAGAATGAATGTCGAAATTGACATAAATATATACTCCCTTTACTTTACCATAAAATTTTAAAAGTAAAATAAAATGCATTGATATTGTATTTGCGGAATAAATGAATTCATTATAAGGCATATAAATGTCATTTTCAATGCAAACTCAAGAACACAAACTGTTTGTGTGATTAACTCAGAGAATAAAATCGGAAATATTTTTACATTCAGTGTGTTTTTTGAGTGCATTACTGTTATATATTTTTTAGATATTATTTATTTATTTTTGCATTTTTCACAAAAATTCTTATTTTCTATTTTTGTTACTAAAGTAAAAGAAATCTTATTTTTGATGTTTTGCAGAAAACAATGTGTGTTTTGAGAATAACATTGCATTAGCATTAGTAGTGATATTAGTCGGCGAAATAAAATTTTTGCTCACTATTTTTTCTCTTTTCTCTGTTGTAATACTTTATGCAAATGAGGGATTGAAAGGAGAGAGAGAGAGAGAGAGAGAGAGAGAGAGAGAGAGAATGTGTCATCTGCTCTGTAGTCAAGCCATAGATTTTCAGAAACTAATGCATTATTTTTTAAAGTATAACAAAAAGCAGAGAGAGAGAGAGAGCTAATACAGTGTAGTATGGGAACCGATATTGTGGTGTTCCCCTCCATCGCCACCTGCGAGGCATACATACAAATAAGTGAATATCTAACACATCTCTGTGTCTTTTGCATACATTTCTTTATTTTACTTATACTTTCTCTTCTCTTTCTCTGCTTTTTGTTATACTTTAAAAAATAATGCATTAGTTTCTGAAAATCTATGGCTTGACTACAGAGCAGATGACACACAATAAGCACTTTTACGGAAGACATCATTAAAAGCTTTTTCATATAAATATTATCGCATTTATATTCCAGAAACTACTGCATCATTGCCTCAAATATTTAATATCATTTTATAAAAATACATCCCTTTATATCCGTCACATATTTCTTATACAGTATTATGTTTTAGATTTAATTAGTGTTGGGTTTTATGGAATATAATTAAAAACACATTTATTTATTAATCGCAACCATTAATTGTAATTTAATGAATAAGAAAACCTATTTGCCATTAATTGTAAATTATTACAAATAGCAGTAAAAATTCAATAATTAGTTGATTTAATGCTATTCACAATGTGTGACACTTTCACTGCTTTTATCATTAAATATTTTCAGTATTAATTAAAAAATTTAAATAAAAGAATTTATTTTACATTTACAATAATTTGTATCAAAATATTATAATTTTAAATTTAAATATACAGAATATTTAAACAAATTATAGTTTAATGTCAAACAATATTTCTTCATTCACAGTGTATTCAATTTTCAATAATGTATTGTTTGTGTGAAAGAATGAAAAGATTTTAAGATAAGTTTAATGTGTAAAAAAGTGGGAAAGTAATCGTTTTGGGATTAATTTTCATACATAAATAAACATTGATTTAAATATCGATTATTTATTTGAAAATGAATTAAAAGCTTTTTAAAGAGCCCATTGTTAGCCTGTATTATAGACCAAATCATAACAATAAGGTATCAATCGATTTGTGAAATATTTTGTCAAAAAATATTTCATGTAATGTATAATTTGAAAATATTTTTGATATTTTCTTAAAAGAATATTT